GGACATACTCATTAATCAGAGATACAAATTTTAAAACAATTACGTACACAAGCAATAATTTTTTACAATAATAATAACAACAACAACAGAAATTATGAAAAGAGCAAATTAATAGCAACAAACAGTAGCTGTAGTAGTAGTGGTAGCAACAGTACTAGTAGCAAAAGCAACAGCATGTAGCCAAAAGTCACGACACAACGTAGCAACACAGCAATACTGGTAACAGGGAAATGGCAGCTTCAATGTAAATGTAAAGAACCACCGCAATCAACAACAAATGGCAGTAAGACATAAATAACAATAACAAAATATGTTTGCATAAATGAAATATTTTGAGTGAAATATCAAAAGCCATAATTCACTGGAGACTAATTTTCAAAAAATTAAGCGCTTAAAACGCCTACGCGAAAGTGAACTGAAAATAATGACCAAACAAAATTTACTGTGGACGAAAGCTAAAAAGAGTGAAGAATATTGTCGTAAGGGTCTATGAGTGTATTGGTGTAGTGGTGAATTGCGCTACTAATGAACTGTTAGCGCAAGCAACAAACACTACACAATAACAACAAGAGTAAAAAATAACCAAAACAAAAACGAAAAGCCATCAATAAAATTAATATTTTTTGAATTGCTACATTTAACAAGTTGAAGTATAACGTAGCACTGGCAACACTGATTTATTTTTTGTACTCTATTTTTATTTTCGACTTATTTCTTTTTTTGATTTTATTCTTATACTATTTAACAATACAAATAAACAAAAATAATCACTTCCAGCACTACACAAACAAAGTAAATTACAAACGAGAAAGCATGACGGACAATAAAAACAAATAAAAAACACAATAACAACAACGAAAAAAAAGGCTAAATATTAAAAATCAGCATGATTAAGTGTGTTTCAGTTAACGTTTTTTTTATGCTTTAAAATTGTTTTTAATATGATTTAAGAGTAAATAGCGTTGATTGGGGTTTTGTAGAGGGGCTCGGTGGATATTGTGTAGAAAAGATTTTACCTTTCCTTTATTAGTATTGGTGCGAAAGTGTGTAGCATTAAATGCAACTTACACACGCATAACAAAATCACATAACAACAAAAATAAAACGTAATCAATCTCATAATTTCACTTAATTGTCGTTAATTAAAAGTAATAACATTGAGAAATAATAACAACAACAAAATATATAGTCCATAAATTTTTTATTTTATTTATGCTGATTTCGCAGTTCATTTTAAAAGAAAAACGCCCACAAATATTCACTTCACTTGTCCCTTGCACTTAAAATTTAGTTTCAGTTTGGTTGTTTGTGTAGATGTGTATTTGTGTTAAGCTTGCCCTTCAAACCTGAACATATTAAAAATATGGTTTAACGCTTGAACAACACTCGAGGGGGTGATTAAAAAATAATAAATTTTACTTAAAAAAATAAGTGGTTTACCAGAAACATACACATACACACATACATGCATATACAGAACTTGATAATGCCTATAGTAGTGAAGGAAAGAAAAAACAACAACAAGAAAAAGTTACTCATACATTGGACTCGACGAGTAGTCCTTTTTGTGTGCTTTAACATGCACATAAAAATCGTACTAAATTTAAACGTACAAGTGTGAACATAACTTTACTTGGCACCGCTTCCCAGTAAAAATGTGTAGAGAAAAACCTTAGTGGTTTTAGTTTACAATTATTATGATTTTCTGGTTATTATTTTTTTTGGTTTTTTTATTTATAATACAAAGTTTAATGTGCTTTATGTTTATATGTGCTCATATTTTTTATATGAAACTAAACTATGCTAAATATGTTATATTTTACTATATAATCGTGTATTGTAGTTTCTGTTCGCTTCACGTACCAATTTTTGACACTAAATTTTTTATATGAAACTCTAATGCCAAATCTAAATATTTTCATTTTTTTAGCGAGTATTATAAATGCTCTAAAATGGCTTAACAATTTTATTATATTTTTTTTTTTGCACAATTGTATTTGATTTGCGCTTGCTTTATTTATGTTTTCATATGTTTGCATACACACACTCATGCTCCTCATAAGCTTGTGCAAGGTCATATGTTATGCAAAATTGCTTGGTGGCAAATATTTGTATTTTTATGCACAAATGTTTAGTATTTATGTATTTATATTTGTTTATGTGTATGTATATATAACCATCAGTTGTGTTTTCGCTGTTCTTCTTTGAATATTTGACATAAGTTTTTGGTTATTGTCCTTGTCGGCTGGGTAGACAATGGCACGTCACTACGCAACGATATAAGTTAAGATTAACTATCAATATTTCATAAAATAAATATTTTGAAAGACTTTAAGTTATATTAAATGCAAATAAACATATTATTACTACGGCTTGGTATTAATTATCTATTAATTAAGTTTTATATTAAATATTATTATATATTTTATATTATTATTTCATATATGTCATACGAAAAATGCAGTATTAGCTCAATTTATTCAACCAATACAATTTGAAGAAGAAGATGATAGCAGAAGATGATAGCATATAGGAAGAGGGGTTAGGTAATACAATCTGTTCCGTTTTGCTCCATTTTGACATCTCAGGTAAGTGTACAGAGGATATATTTTTTCTTTTAGTGATATTTTTTAATTAAAACGATAGTGACTATTTAGTTTTTATGGATCGGAGAGACAGATAGTAAAATTAAACTCGGACAGACTTTCTGTCGGCGCATTCTTACTATAAAGACGACTTTTCGACATATCAGACACACTTATTTAAATATTTTTGTTTGCGGTATGTGCAGAAAATAAAATCTTAGTCTGAGACTTGAAGTCACTAAAACCACTTCATAGTAGCGACTTGAGCAGATCTCTATCATAAGACTTTGAAAGACTTTCGGCTGAATAGACATAATCTGAGTATGAAACATAAGAAACTTATTATTTGACTTTTAATATTTCATTCCTAATTTTAATTAATTTATATTTATATTTTGTACATTTATAATATATATTATATTATATTATATATACTAATTTATATTTGTATTATATAACACTAATTATATTAATATTTTGTTGAGGCTAGTTGAGTCAGTGGACTTGAGCACTTTTTCTCTTTATTAACTGCGAGGTTTGTTTATAATTCGTCTCTACGCCTTGACTGTATTATTGTTTATCACTTCATCAGACTAAGCAATAATAGACCTCAAATCTGCATATCTCCCCGAGGAGCCTATAACCATTCTGAGCTTCGATAACGCGGTAAGCCTGTCAGTTTTCGTAAATAATTTCAGGGCTCCATCTTTTATATATTTTTTGATCGGGTCAATCATGAGGTCCCTGATGATGTGTTTCTTAAATTTATATTGATATGATATGATATGATAGAATGACTTTAAATGCGGAAAGACTCTGTATGCCAACATCTTAGTCTTGATTTTGATAAACTCGTTCAAATCATACTGATTTATAATTAAAAAAAAGATATTAATTTAAAAATAAATTTTAACACATATTATGTGCTCTTGTTTATATATAGCTATGATTATGCACATATTCTTTTTCATATAAATAAAGCTTACCATAATAATTACTTCCTTTTTAACAAATACACCGCACCGCACACCCTACCACAAATTCTATTCAATTATTAACTCTTACCAGACAATCGGTCTAATCCAAGCCAGCATATGTCAAACGTTTAGACAACGATTGACTGCGACATCTATTAGACATTATGCTGTCAGTCAAAGATGCTTCCTTGCATGCCTTGAAGTTAACATTTTGCAATTTGTTAGCTTACCAAAAGGCATGCATGCATGCGCCTGCACACTCAAACACACACACACATATACATACTCAAACACTCAACAAAGGCACCAAAAGCCCGATATTGTCATTAGTTGGATTAGCGTTGGTGACATGCATGAGAAATCGAACAGTGTGGAAAAATCGTTAGACAAAAGAAAAACATGGAACTTGTGGAACATGATTATATATTGATTCCCGTAAGAGTGTCAAGCTATACGGCCACGACAAGTAGCAATAACAAAAACAATGTGAAAACCCTGTATGCAAATGCACAATTGCATCAAATGTTATCAGTGTTGCGAGCGTAAAACAAAAGAAAAAATTACTGGAAGTAACATTGCGAATACTACTTGTGGAGAATATATAAAATCTAATAGTTTTTATCTATGGAGTGCATATCTACGGTTACATGAATACATTTTAAGCTGACTTAACATATTCTCCCTGCTAAGACACGCACAAAGCCCGAAGTTAGTGAAGAGTAGAGCAATGGAATTTTCTTCTTTTTTTAGCTGAAAACAAATTGAATTGAACTAAAAACTTTGACCAGAAATCAAATTCTATGGCAATCGCAAATCGTCCTTTAATACTTGCAACAAATTGTGCGGAAATGGTTTTAAAAAGATAAAGGAGGGACAATCTAAATTTGTATCTTAAAATTATATTTGTTTAAAACTTTTTCATATCTCAATTTCATTGGGAAAAAAATAAAGAAATACTAAACAGATTAAAAGTGAAATTATTTGAGGCATTACTGAATTAAAAAAAAGTAAATAAAATAATAAAAAAATATGAAAAAATAAATATCAAAAAAAATGTAAAAATTATATAATAAAAAAATATAATATTAATTTTTGAATTCATATTTTAATTCAAATTTTGAAAAAAATTCACATAATAGGTCTCCAATTAAAAGACCGTATTTTACCAAACTTTGATCCGCATATACCATATATAAAGTACATATAACAAGTTATATAAGTTGTAGAGATCTAACACAGATCTCTACAAAATTTTTAATGTATTATTATATTAATAATTAAAAAAAAACTTAAATGATTAAAAAACAGCTTTTACTTGCGAAAAATATTTACTTAAGAAACTAATTAACAAGAAACCCTAATGAGAATCGTTATAATAGTTTCATTACAAAGTGAAACACTGACTGATCAATATTTATATACGAAACTTCTACTTGAATAAGTATTGTATTTTGTATATTATCCAAATAAAACAGAATTTAGTAAAATAAATATAGCAACTAATTTACTTAACTCGACCGTGTTATTATTTACAGTACCGATATTATCTAACTACAGTCTGAACGTTAAATTGGAGAAGGATTATGTCTTTTAAAATGGTGAAATATAAAATAAAATTTAGCAAAACACAAAACTTGAAACAAAAAAGAAATTATTAATAGTTGTTAAAATTAATAAAAAAATAATTAACATTAAATATTATTAAACTTAATGTACGTTCATTGCTTTCAGATTCTTTATGTGGTGATTTTTCTAAGTATTATTTCTGTTTCAGTAACAGAAACTGATGGGGTTAATACTGCACCATTAAAAGAAAATGATAATAACCCCACAAAACCGCAAACAGAAACCAAACCCGAAAGCCTAGAAGATCAGAAAAATACCTATGAATTAGTAGTGCAATTTTTGCCGCTAGAAAACGGTACACTTATAATTCCAGACGTTGAAATAATGTTTAAATATCCTTGGGATGATATGTCAAATGAAAATAACAACAATACGGAAACCGAAGCAGAAAGAGAAAAATCAGAAGAAGCAGAAAAACCACAGAACCAATCGAATGCTATGTACAATCCGGTTCCATCTCAACTAGAAACTGCAGAAGCACAACAGAATCTTACTTCACTTGATAATTCTACAACGCCTACTCTATCGCCGGAAGAAATTATAAATAATCCGAAAGTTTTGCAAGTTTTAAAGGATTTAATTGCAGACGAAGTCAAAAAAATTAAAATGGAGGATGATCGCCAGAAAGAACCAAGAACAAGACCAACAAGAAAAACAACTATTTCACCAAACCTTGGAGAACAATCAATAACAAAATTACCTATTACCATACCACCAAAATATGCAGAACAACCAATAACAGAAACAACAACTACATCGCCACAACCTGGAAAACCACCAGTATCAATAATAACAACTATTTCACCAAGACTTATAAATCAACCACAAACAGGAACAACTTTTCCACCAAAACTTAGAAAACAACCAGAAGCAAGAACAACAACTATTTCACCAAAATCTAGAAAGTCGCAAGGAATGCCAAACTCTCCAATTATAACAGCTTCAACATATGCTGATCCTTTTGATCCAAATTGTTATTACAGTACTGAGGTCAATCCTGACGAATGTAAGTACTTTCAAAAAAAAAGACTAATAATTATAATAAATATTTTTTTTTGTTTAAACAGTATTAAATATGGTTCCCTCTCTCTCTCTTTTTCTTTTTAGCGCCACAAAAAACGGAATCATTAATTTGTATGCATTGCTGTCCACTTGAATTATATGACCAGTATTATACGGACTACGCATACTACATCGGGATTGAAAATACCGACTTAGTTTATTGTAATATGGTTAGCGATAGAGCATGTATATAACTTTGTCCAGCTAATAGTATAGTACTACTAATTAGTCATCTTTAAAAAATATATAAATTTTTTTAACACTATTTTTTTTATTTAGAAAACTAATACAAAAAAATCATTAAAAACTCAATCACAGAGATAAAGTTTCATTGATATAAATTTCATTGATTTTTACTTACTACAAACATATATATATATCTATGAATATATACATACTAATTCACTAAGTTTATTCGATAGATAGTTTTACTAATAGTCTGCTAATTAACTAATTACATGGATCTATTATAATTACATTTATATTGATTGACACTCCGGCATATATAATATGATATCGGGAAACCTTTTATAAAGTAAAAAAGTATAAGCTAAAGTAAAAAAGTATAAGTTTGTATTTAGTGTCACAAAAAAGATTAGGTTATCGTATAAGGGAAAACTTAGATTTATTTAATGGGAGATCTTGCCATTGAACAAGATCCGCAAAAAATGAGACTCTCAAAATAGTAGAACGGCGACGTGTATGCCCTAGGGAAAACAAAGCAAATGAGAGGCATTTTCATCGTCCCCTCCATAACTACAACCGGAATTATTGAAAGGAAGATTCAATCTTCTATCATGGTTTTCGAAACTGAGTAATCTATTAAAATCATTTCTATCTAAACAAATGTCACGGCAAGTATATTAATAAATTTGTTACTAAAAACATAACACATTATAAAGAGAAATATTATAGTACCGAATAGATAAGACATCTTTCGTAATAAATATTGATACATTAAGACTGAAAAGTTTTCGGAAATTCTCATTTAAAATTCGCGCGCTGTATATTTTTCGATATTTTAAGTTTATGTAGTTTGGCAGCACTGTCCTTAATTACTATGCCAAAAATGAGCTCGATCTGTCAGACAGTTCGTTTACGGCAGCTGTTGAAACCAGTTCACCTCAGTAGTGCGTTGCGAAATGTCTTCGACGGTCGTACGACCGTCCTGGAAGGCTTTGTACCACTCATAAACTTGAGTTTTCGATAAAACTGATTCCCCATAAGCCTTTTGTAGCATTCGCAACGATTCTGCACACGAAATTTCGTTCGAAACACAAAATTTGATGCAAACTCTTTGTTCAATATTTTTTTCCATTGTTTTTTTCGCAACGCCCTACTGAGGTGAACTGGTTTCAACAGCTGCCGTAAACGAACTGTCTGACAGATCGCGCTCATTTTTGGCATAGTAATTAAGGACAGTGCTGCCAAACTACATAAACTTAAAATATCGGAAAATATACAGCGCGCGAATTTTAAATGAGAATTTCCGAAAGCTTTTCGGTCTTAATGTATAATAGTCAGATCTTTTAATATAAAATGAAACAAAACTCTCGTACTACGCCCGATATGTTTTAATAAAGAAAATCATTACTTCTCTATGATATAAACTACTATACAACGAAATATAGTGATAGATAAAATATTATTAGTATTATAATTATTATCTCATTCGGGAGTACTATATACCAAAACTCAGATGGAAGACTATGCTACATCTACTTGTTTATTTTATTTATGTATTTTATAAACCTAAGCAAGTTAGGTAGAGTACAATACATACTGTCTTTATTTTTTTAGTTTACATACTAGGCGTATAGATACAATTGCTCGGGTCCCTACTATATGTTTACATTGAAGACCTCAGTCAGATACATCAACTTTTATTAGCAAGTACTTTTAAAAACATTGTCTCTTCCAAATCTTATAACAAAAAATGGATTTAATATTCAAAAGAAATTAATTGATTTAATAAATTTTCAGTATTGACACTTGTAATAATTGTATCAAAATGAGTATACAAGTACACTGGTTAACAATTTTTCTATATAACTAAATGTTACATAGGTTATGTTAAGTCGAACCGGCAATCCTAGGAATATTGAGTTACCGTATAAAAAAATTGTTGAGGTTTAAAAAGCTCTCTAACTTTGCAAATAGCAAAGTTGGTCAATATCTCCAAAAATCATGTTTCCACTATGATTAATTCATGTTGCATATGCTGTAGTCAGTGTATAAAGTACATATATATATATATATATATATATATTAATATATATATATATATATAGCAGGTAATTTCTTTACCCTACGTTCGTACATCGAAGAATTTCTAACCACAATACTTTTGAACAGTCAAGAACTCCATTTGTCTTGACACCAATGTCATCAACAATACTGATATCAATGTCAAAATTAGATTAGAACTACTATTGCTAATAGGAGCTATTATGAGTGCATAGACAAATGGATCCCTTTTTCGGTTTCCCCTTTCTATCTCTCTTTCTCTCTCTCTCTCTCTCTCTCCTCTCTCTGGCACAGTATGGCGCTCATTTCTAATTCGTTACTTAAAAGAAAATAAAGTAACCTGTTTTATATAAATTATCTGGTTCTTTTATTATTGAACTCTGTTGGGAGTACCCTAAAACCCCTAAAATACCCCTAAAAGGGGTATTTTATATTAAAGTACTATAACTTCGTAAACTGATTCCTTGATTTTAATTTTTGTAAATTTTACAAAAATTTTTGATGTCTGCTAATATAGAGGATGCCACAGAAAATTTTATCCAAAAAAAACTTTGCAATCAAAACAAGGTCATTTATAAAAAGTGTTAGATTCCCTTAAATAACTTTATACTATTATTACCAGTACATTAAATTCTTTTTTTTTTTATATCCAAAAATGGACTAAATTAATTTAAATGGATTTAGATTATGGATTTCAATCAGTTTGGCAAAAAATGTAATTATTCTCAAAATTTTTTGCTTAATTTTTGTTTGTTCATTTTTCTTATGTCAATTCCTCGATACTATATGGGATCATATCTTTTTGATATTCAAAAAACTACAGACTAGTCACAGCTACTTTAATATTTTATGGATGAAATGCTTTTTCGAGAGTTACTTCTACATTTTCACTATACCTAATATGATATTTTTGTTTATTACTATATCTAGGAAGTGAAATTTAACCTCTTCCTGAGCCTAAGGAAAATAAAATCCAAAATTTAACTAGTACAGAATGATCATTTTTGTAGAAAGCTTCTAGAACTTTAATTTGTTTAGCGGTTATTAAATGGTCCATATTATTAAATGGTAAACCTTGAACTAAATAATGCCAAGTGACAGCTCTCTTTGAAATAGTACTGCCAAATCAAGACCATGAAGTGGATTATCTTTTATGAGAATAATCTACAATGTATAGGTTTAAAGAATGCATATATCTATATTGTTAAGTTATATAATATTAACTGAATATACACGGCATTTACGAATATTATCGTTTGAGATAAGTCATCCAAACTTGAGCCTGGAAACAGCTTTCACGTTAATTAGAATTTTGTCTTGTTTCCTCTTTAAAAATTCATTTTTTCTTATTAAATAAAAAATAGTAATTTGCAATTTAATTTTGTTTTTATTTTTTATAGAAACATTAATTAAAAATAACGATAATATTATTTGTGAAAAGAGTCATATAAGCACTTTTGCCAGAATATAATTTGAGATTATATTTCCATATCTAATAAAATTAATTAAAATTGCAATATGTTTTCATTTTAACAACAAATTATTAAAAATTATCTGACATACTGAAATCAGTCGACTACTCCAAGTCATCACGAAAACATTTATTTAGAATAATATTAAAAATGGTAAATATATATATTGTTTATATATATACATAGGAATAGAAATAAATATGTACATGCCATTATATAAAATTATGTTTATAATATAAACTAATAAGGCTTTCTAGGTAAATGAAAAGATTCTATATCTTTTATACACAATTATGATGACTCATCACGTGTCACCATTTATGACTGATTTGATGAAAATGCAAAGACCAATTCGATCTGAAATGATAACAGATGATAATGAGGACACGGAAGTAGATTTACTTATCGTAAATGGACTTCCATATATAGAAACATTGCCTACTAATGAGAATCCAAACCAATCCAATCCAAGTTCCACAGAAGAACAAAACCACAATGAAAAAAAAGTTGCTGTCGTATATAGTGTAGCGAAACCTGGTTTTCCGATTATGCCTCCATCTGGGACTGAACTCACAGTTCTGCAAACTGAAAATGGACGTGTAGTGCAGGTGCCAAAAATGTCGACCGCAAATAAAAATGAATTCTCAAATACACACCAGAAACAAACTTTACCAGAGAATAGAATAACACCTTATAAATTTGATGATGATACTACATTTTTATCCGAATTTCCTTCGCAGAGTAATCAACCATTCATAGACAAGAGTAAAACATATTCAATATTTGACAAGACATACTCTCAGTTGACATCGGATACAACAGCAACTACATCAAATCCATATGAAGTGTACTATAAAATCTCTTCGGAAAATGATGATCCAAGCAAATCAACAGTACAGAATAGTTTGGAAGATTTAGATGTGTACTTATTCATACTACCGGCTGAGCACTATGAAGAGCAAACAGATATTCTACCAGAGTATGACTATCGGGACATACTGAATAGAAAATGTTTTTTCATAACAAGTTTAAGTGTTATAAAACATGGAACATTTGGCGGTGAATATGAATAATATATACTTAAAGTTTCAGTTATAATGAATATCTCATTACATATATTCTTTGCAGTTTCAAGTTTGGTATGCCGACACTGTTGTTTAGTTAAAGCACGCACCTATGCATGTTTTGATATCAGGAAGGGAAGATGCACCATTCGTGAAATATATGAGTAATACATTATACGATATTATTAATTTAATACAAACAATTTTTGTAATAATCAAGTGAGAGTACCATGCCACTGTAAGA